AGTCCCAGTGCTGGCTGCTGCCCCTCTCACAAGGAGCTCAAATTGCTTAGACATCAGGCAGCCGCAGCCAGTGCTGGCCACCCTTCCCCATGGGAGTTCAGTAAGCTTAAGCAGACTCCAATTGAGAGGCTGTAAGAATCTGCATGTTCCAGGGTTGTGATGCAAAGCCCCAGTGGCGTGGGTTTGCAAGTGGAATCTTCCGATCTGTGGGTTGCACAGTTCCGTGGAAAAAGCACAGTTTCCCTGTCTGGGTAGCAGCTTACTCACCACCTCCCTTTGCTTGGGGGAAGGGGGTTCCCCTTCCCCATGTGGGTCTCAGGTGCGCTGCCGCACCACACTGCTCTTCCTTCTCTCCATGGGTCATGCCAGCCTTCTAGTCAATTTTGATGAGAGAACCTGGATACCCTGGTTGCTGGTGAAGGATCCACATGCTTATGTTTTTTTCCCATAGGAGCCTCCCATATGGTGCTGCTTCTGGTTGGCAGTCTTGGCCCCACCCCTAGTTTCGCGTAGGTGGGAGGCCTCAGGAAACTTACAATCATGGCGCAAGGCAAAGGGAAAGCAACGCACCTTCTTCACCAGGCTGCAGGAGGGAGCTGGAGTGATTTTCTTTCTTTTTTCTTTTTTGGAAACAGAGTTCCACTCTGTCGCCAGGCTGAGTGCAGTGCGCAGATCATCGGCTCACTGCAAAGCTCCACCGCCCTGGTTCACCGCATTCCTCTCAGCCTCACCGGTAGCGAGACCACAGGCCCCGCACCACCGCTTATTATTTTTGTATTTTTAGTAGAGACGGGATTCACCGTGTTATGCCAGGATGCGTCTCGATCCTCGCTCGACCTCGGTGATCCACCTGCCTCGGTCTCCCAAAGTGCTGGGGATTACAGGCGTGAGCACGACCCGCGCCCAGAGTCTGAGGTGATTTCTAAGAGTAATTCTGGGGCAAATTTCATGCATCCCCTCCTCAGCACAACTCCATGATCTATTCAGGGCAGAAAATCTTAGTTCACTCCTTAACTCCTCATAAGTGAAACTGACACAACATCATGTATAAAACCCTAAGTGGGAAAAAAACAAAAAACAAAAACCCTCCTCTATCATTTTTTATCTTCCTTGTTTATAGATAATTCAACTACAGGCATTTTTACTGGTCAATGTTGACATGGTTGTTTTCAGTTTGGTTGTAATGACGAAAATCTACTGATTATCACAGGTATTGCTTGGCCTCCCACACAAGTGCACAACCACTGCCTCTCTGCTAGAAAAATCCTACAGTTTGGTACACTGGATCACAATTTTCTCCATTTTTTTTTTTTTTTTTTTTTTTTTTTTGGGTAAGAAGTTTTGCCATGTTGCTCAGGCTGGTCTCAAATTCCTGGGCTAGAGCAATCCTCCCACCTTGGCCTTCCCATGTGCTGGGATTACAGGAGCGAGCCACTGTGCCTGGCCAATATCCACACTTTTCACATGATCTCGTGCTTGGAAAAGGTAGGCTCCAGCCCCAACTTTAAGGAGGGAATTACAACTGGTCTAGTCATAGGAACATGATTAAATTCTGTCAAGCAAAATGAATGTACGTGGAAGTCTGTGGGGAGAGTGGGAAGTTGGAAAGAATCTGGATCCTTGATCAAATCTCTGGGAAATAAAATTTTCCTCATTTCTTTAAACAATTAATATTGAGTTTTCAGTTCCCATATCTGAAAAAAAGATCCTAGAAGGCTCACAGAGCCTAATAGAGCCTAATAGATTAGTAAATTGACTACACACTTGTAAGCAGTTTGGCTGGAGCGAGAGGACATTAGGGAATTATGAAATATAATAACATCTTTCTTTCGAACTTGGTAATTCCTTTCGAAACAATGAATACAAAGTATTAAAATATCATTGGAAATATCCAAAATCTATCTTAACATCTACTGAATTTGGTACTTTACACAGTTGCATTTGAATTTCCTGTAGCAAATTATAATTTTCTTAAATCTTACAAAAATGATCTTTTACCTATATTCTACTATAAGAATTTGTATACACATACATACATACACACACAGACACACATGCATACACCTTTTATACTACTTTGGCATAATACTGTTAGTTAATATAATAGTAAGTATAAATGTAAAAATCTAGCTTCTACTTTGTTGTTAAAATAATACAACTGAAAGTCCTCAAATGAGAATAAGAATATAGCAAATCAGAAATATTATGAGGTTCACAAATATGTAAATTTCATTTATTTTTGAAAAGCTCAGAAGTAAACAGTCCTTAGTACCTGTAATGAGCTATTCATAATAAAGGGCAAACACCAAGGCCAGTGCCACGTAGGATTCTGCTTCGTGTTTAGCTGCGACCCAGCTGTCCCATGCAACGTCCCAGATCCACCTGCTGGCAATCTGTGAGAGAAATTTTGTAAAGACCAACTTTAGATTGAACATATTAAGAAGTAATTTTCAAATCTACACTAGTTTTTAAAAAATGAATGCATCAGTATCTCAGAAATTATTTTTAAGACATAATTTGTCTGGTTTTCCCTTTCATAAAAAGCTTGGAAAATGATACTGCCCCAGCCCATCCTTCTTTAATGGAGGCTGGCCTTTCTCTAAAACAGAGAGAGGCTCCCTTAGCTGTGTTTCCAGGGCCAGGAGCAGAAGGCCCCTGGAAATGGGGATGTAGTGGCTCTGCATACAGTATGACTCTGCCATGTAATCCCTGACAAGGAAGTCTTCCCACCCTTTAAAGATTTTCAGCCAAAAAGTTTGTCTGGGCTTTGCCTTGAAATGAAGAAATGGCATTGACTATACAAGTAGGCTGATATGGACAATTCTAACTCCTTTTCTCTGTGTACAAATCCATATGTGATCTGATTTCAGCCCACTTCTTCGTGGAGGATCTAAAATGGCCCAAAATCTTTTTTTTTTTTTTTTTTTGAGACATAGTTTCACTCTTGTTTCCCAGGCTGTAGTGCAATGGCGTGATCTCGGCTCATTGCAACCTCCACCTCCTGAGTTCAAGTGAGTCTCCTGCCTCAGCCTCCAGAGTAGATGGGATTACAGGTGCCTGCTACCACATCCAGCTAATTTTTCTATTTTTAGTAGAGATGGGGTTTTACCATGTTGACCAAGCTGGTCTTGAACTCCTGACCTCAGGTGATCCGCCCACCTTGACCTCCCAAAGTGCTGGGATTACAGGCATGAGCTACCACGTCCGGCCGAAAAATTCTTATGGCTTCTCCTATTAGGAAGTTGACTTTATGTCCCCACCCTGTGAATAAGACTTGGCCCTGTGACTTGCTATGAGTTGTAAAACATGACACTGTGAAACTTCCAAGCAAGGCCTTCAGAGGTCTTGTAGCTGCCACTCTCATGCTCGTGGAATACTATGCTGAGCCTCCCCACGTTATGAAAGCCCACTCAACCTACTGGAGGATGCTGGCTCACATGCAGGAGAACCCAGGGGCCCAGGCCACAGCTAGCCCAACAGTCAGACAAGTGACAGAAGCCGTCTTGGACCTGCGGGCCCAGGTAAGTCATTACATGGCTACAAGTGCATCGGTGAGACCAGCAGAAAAGCCAAGTAGCTGACTCACAGAAAGAAAGCAAATACATGGCTGTTGTTATAAGATACTAAGTTCTGGGGTGGTTTGTTGTGCAATAATATAAGCTGAAACATTCCCCCACTGCGCATCATGCCACTCTCTACCACCTACTTGTTACATATCAAGCACACGAAGTCATCCCTGCCTCAGGATCTTTGCACTTGAAGTTTTCTCTGCTTGGAACATCCTCCCTCCTCTTTGGTATGGCTGGTTCCTTCTTATCTGGATGTCAGAGGCTTCTCCCTTCTCTAAACAATCCCAAGTAGCCACTCTGCTACTCTATCATATCCCTACCTTAATGTTCTCTTTGTAGCACCTACCATCTAGAACATCCCTATTTCTTAAGTCTGTATGTCATATGTGGTGCAGCTTCTCTTCTCCATGGGAGCCAGGATGCTTCTTTCTTGCTGATTGTTCTCTCCTCAGCACCCCTCTGCCAGTCCAGGTCCCCCTCCCCACGCTTCATCATGCAGTCCACTCCTAAATGGAACCTCTACAGATTCTTCCAAACGCAATTTTTTCTCTCTTTTCTCTCCAACTCCCACATATTCCTCATCAACTCCTTAGATAATTACACAGCCTAGTGATATTATCTCTTTGTTAATAAATAATTTAATAATTACCTTGCTGTTTATTGAGGGCTCTGTGCTGGTGATTATGTTAAGGATTTTAATATAGATAATTTCATTTCATCTTCACAACAGCTCTAAGAAGCCAGTTTTATCATCACCATTTTATAGATGAAGAAACTGTGCCAAGGCCACAGCCAGCAAATGTTGCAGAGGCGATCTGACTCCAAAACCCAGGCTGTTTACGTTATTCCTATCGTTTTATTTCCTTAAATTCTAAATTGTGCTGCATTATCTCCTTAACTAGAGTAAAATCTCCTTGAGAATCATGGTCCATGTTTTATCATTCCTTGTATTTTCCTTAGTACCTAACACCCACTAGTGCCCAAAATAAATTTACTGGTTAATTAATTAACTTAAATTACATTAAACTGTCAAAATTGATATGCTTAAGGAAGAGAATAGCAATGCAATTTAATAAATTATTAGTACCAAATTGCTAAATTGCTACTTCTAGGTTTGTACTTTTCTTTCTTTCATTTTTTTACTTTTTTTTTTTTTTTTTTTTTTTTTTTTTTTTTTTTTTTTTTTTTTTTTTTTTTTTTTTTTTTTGAGATGGAGTCTTGCTCTGTTGCCCAGGCTGGAGTGCAGTGGAGCGATCTCGGGCCACTACAACCTCCGCCTCCCAGTTTCAAGAGAGTCTCCTGCCTTATCTTCCCGAGTAGCTGGGAATACAGGGGCCCACCATCATGCCCAGCTAATTTTTGTATTTTTAGTAGAGATGGGGTTTCACCATGTTGGCCAGGCTGGTCTGAAACTCCTGACCTCAGGTGATCCACCCGCCTCAGCCTCCCAAAGTGCTGGGATTACAGGCATGAGCCAATGCACCCGGCTGGTTTGTACTTCTCAAATAATTGACAGTGAAATAAATACATTTAACAACATGATACTTTCTTTTGAAAGGTACCTCAGAATCTCTGGAGTGCCCTTGAGTCATCACAATAATAATCAAATCACTAGAGAGGAGATGCCTTATAGTTCTAATTGCTAGATCCTGTATCAATGGGGTACTTACATTTATTGCTTGGCCAGTCTTTTGAATAAATAATACTTTTATAATGAACTTATAACGGTGGTACCCAAATTCTTTGACTGCTAACAGTATGCGGTCTGCCAATTCCAGTGACAAGTGAGAGAATACTTTATCATCATATTTGACATCTTTAAGACTTTCCTTTAAGAAAATTTAAGAAAAATACTTTTATTTTCAAACCAAATATTTCCTATATAAAAATTCAAGTAGAAAACATATCTAAATAATATATATAACTGTTTAAAAATAAATATATTCCTAACTAAATAATATTAAATACATTTTATGCTTACCTATTTCTGTAACAATTTTGAGGAATATTTATTGGGGTTTTCAAATTATATTCAATTACTTTTCATTATCGACACAAGCTGTAAGTTGTAATTTACTAGACTACTCTGCCAAACAGTTAATAGAGAGACACAGGAGATTTTCCAAAGAAGACTTCTAGAAATTCTTAGGTAAAGGAAACAAATCTTTTAAAATTTATACATATATTAAAATTCAGATTTTGGTTTTCTTATAGTGAAGATTACTTGGACTCACAACCTGTACCATGTCACTGCCCTGCTCAGTGGGCTCACATTAAAACTACTTCTTTCCAACCCTCCTCTGTAGCCTCTCACTCCACTGATTTTTCTCTGGCCTCCAGGAAAGTGAACTCAAAGATTTCTAACCATGTTTATTAATAAATTAATGTATAGCTTGAAGGAAATGGACATGGCTTGTGGGCTATAAAGCATTACTCTTTTTTACAAACCAGGAGCAGAACTGGACACCTAGCAGACAGACTACACATCTCTGATTAACTGACTTGTTGTGCCTGCACCAATGACACAATGCCTTCTGGTTCTAGTGACAACTGCATGAGCCAATTCCTGGAATGAATTTCTTTGTATATATATTCTTTGTTTCTCTGTAGAACCCTCATACAATACTGCTATCATATATATTTATCAACCTACTGTTAGTATCTGCTGGATTTTAGTTTGTACTGAATGAGCTTGGAATTTCTTCAGTGGCTCCATTCTATATGAATTAGCAAACTTTAATTTTGCCAGGGCACTCTTCCATTCTTTACCTATATCAGCAATTGAGTCATCAAAAGGAGGCTCTACATACTGAACATCGTGAACTGACTCTCTCAGTCTTTCTCTTAAAATCTGTGCATACTGGAGGAGAAAGAGAGAGGGGAAGAGAGAAAGGGAGAAAGGTTACTTTTTAAATTGTAAAATGATTTTTCAGATTAAAAAACCCTGTACAATGGGACAGGGCTCACACAAAGCTTGGAAATTTGTTAAACAGACTTCTACAATAATGTGGTTGCTAAATCCTAGATTTGCTCCTGGCTATCAATTTGGCAAAAAAAAAAAAAAAAAAAAAAAGGAATACTATTTATCCTTTTATCTATACTCACAAACATATACACACAAATTGCATGCATATATTTAGAATATCCATGGATGATCCACAGGGACTAGAAACAAGAGTGGCCTCCAGGGAGAGCAACTGAGTGGCTATGGGATGGAGATACAGGGAAAACCTTTCTTCCTCCCTGCCCTGAGATTATGAAAATATTATCCTTCATTGTCTTAAAATTTTATTTTACTTCATTTACTCATTTTTAAATAATATAATTATTTAGGTAGCACATTCATAAGTCTTAAGCTGAAAAGATACCAAAAGAGCATTGATTCGATATTTATCAGTTCATGCTTTTGACATGAAACATTCATTCTGTGACATCCAATATGCATTAATGAAATATTTGCATAGTGTCCAATATGTCCCAGATAAATGCTCTAGCCTCTTAAATTAAAGCAGTGAGCTTCATTTTATTAATAGCCAGGAATTTCTTTTTCTTGCCTAATTGCTTGGCTAGAACTTCCAATTCTATGTTGAAAAGAAGTGGCAAAAGTGGACATCCTTGCTTTGTTACTAATATTACAGGAAAAGCTTTCAGTCTTTCCCCATCGAGTATGATGTTTGCTGTGCGCTTTGTTGTTGTTGTTGTTTTGAAACAGAGTATTGCTCTGTCGCCCAGGCTGGAGTACAGTGGCATGATCTTGGCTCACTGCAACCTCTGCCTCCTAAGTTCAAGCGATTCTCCTGCCTCAGCCTCCTGAGTAGCTGGGACTACAGGCACATGCCACCATGCCCAACTAATTTTTTTTTTTTTTTGTATTTTTAGTAGAGATGGGGTTTCACTGTGTTAGCCAGGATGGTCTTGATCTCCTGACCTCGTGATCTGCCTGCCTCAGCCTCCCAAAATGCTAGTATTACAGGTGTGAGCCACCATGCCTGGCATTTGCTGTGCAGTTTTCATACAGAGCTTTTATTAGGTTGAAGTAGTTTCCTCCTATTTCTAGTTTTTGGGGTGTTTTTATAATAAAAGAGTGTTGAATTTGACATATGCTTTTCCTTCATCAATTGAGATTTATCATGTGGTTTATTTCATTTAGTTAATGTGGTGTATTACCTTGATCGATTTTCATATGCTGGATCATCCTTGCATTCCAGGAACAAATTTCACTTGGTCGTGGTGTCAAATCCTTTAAATAAAATGCTGAATTCAGTTTGCTAGTATTTTGCTGAGAATTTTTGCATCAGTGTTAATATATGATACATGTCTGTAGTTTGCTTTTCTTGTAGCGTCTTTGTCTGCCTTTGGTATTAGGGTAATGCTGACTTCTTAGAATGAGTTAGACAGTATTCTCTCTGCTTTTATCTTCTCAAAGAGATTGTAATAATTGATATAACTTTTTCCTTAAATGCTTGATAGAATTCACCAACGAAATCACCTGAACCTGGTGATTTCTGCTTTGGAAGGTTGTTATTGATTCAATTTTTAAAAACAGATATATGCTTATTCAGATTATCTATTTCTTTTTGTATGAGTTTTGGGAAATTGCATCTTTCAAGGAATTGGTCCATTTCTTCTAGGTTACCAAATTTCTGGGCACAGAATTGTTCATAATATTCTTTTATTATATTTATGGTGTTCATGAAATTTCTAGCAATATCCTGACTTGCATTTCTGCTATTAGTAATTTGTGTCCTCTCTTTCTTAGTTAGCCTGGATAGAGGCTTATAGGTTTTATTGATCTTTTCAAAGAAAAAGCTTTCAATTTTGTTGGTACCTGATTTCAATTTCATCAATTTCTACTATAATTTTTATTATTTCTTTTCTTCTTGGATTTAATTTGTTCTTCTTTTATAGTTTCTTTGAGGCTTATTTTAGCTCTTGCTTCTTTTCTAATATATGCACACATTCAATACTATACATTTCCTTCCAAGCCCTGTTTTTGCTGCATTCTACAAATTTTGATATGTTTTCATTTTTATTTAGCTCAAAGTATTTTTTAAATTTCTTTTGAGGTTTCTTCTTTTGTTAGTGTTTTTTGATGTCTAGCATTTCTTTCTAGTTCTTTCTTAGGATTTCCATTTCTATGCTTACATTGCTCATCTGTTCTTGTATGCTATTTTATCAACTACAGCCCTTTAACATATTAATCATAGTTACTTAAATTCTGATAATTCCAAAATCCCTGCCATGTCTGGTTCTGCTGCTCACTCTGTGTTTGTTGTTGTTTTTAGTATGCCTAACTTTTTTCTTGAAAGACAGACATGATTCGCCAGGTAAAGAAACTGATGTAAGCAAAAGAAACTACCAACAGAGTGAACGGGCAACCTACAGAATAGGAGAAAATTTTTGCAATCTACTCATCTGGCAAAGGGCTAATATCCAGAACCTACAAAGGAACACAAAAAATTACAAAAAAAAAACACCACAACAATATCAAAGGGGCGCAAAGATCATAACCAGGACACTCCCCTCACAAGAAGAAAAAGTCAATGCCAGCCAACAGACTCATGGAAAATACATGCCCACTCATCTACAACTCCTGCCATCGAGAAGCAACGCAAATCAAAACCACAATGAATAAACCATCTCACGACCACAGTCTATATTCGTGCACGATCATTCTTAAAAACGTCAGGGAACACACAGGGATTCTTGGAGACCTGTATAGACCGCAAATAGGCAACAATTATACATTGGGTGCGCCCGTACAAACAAGTTCAAACCCGTCTGTGCGAAGACAGTGTGGCATGCTCAAGGATACAGCTAGAAATACCATCCTTTGACCCAGCCATCCCCATTACCCGGGCTGATACCCAAATCATCAACTTCTCAACACGATTATAACACTGCTGCTATAAAGACACATGCCCATGTATGTCTTTTATGCACTACTGACCAACAACAGAGCTGAACCAAACCCAAATGTCCATCAAATCTGACAGACATCGATTTCAACAATGTGGCACATATACACTACTCATGCCGAATCCTACATCGAGACTTCAGAAAAACAATGACTCATGTTCCTTTGTTCAGGGACATGGCAGCTGCGGAAACACCATCAAAGTCAGCAAACCTATCACAACAACAGAAAAAACACTGAGAGACCAATCATGTTCATCACTCATCAGCAGATGAACTAGAACACTGAACAACACCTGACATCAGCAAGGGGAACATCACCAGAGGGTTGTGTTGTGGGTGACAGGAGAGGACTAGCCAATATCACGAGATTATACCACATGTGAAACGGAACTATCTCGTTAACACTAGCTCGCAGCACACCAACATGGCACATGTACTCACATATTAACAAACCTGCACACCTTGTGCAATACCCAGAACTTAAAGTATCTAAAAAATTTAAAAAAAAAAACCAAACTGCTGTAACGAGGCCTCTAGTATTGTGCTTCCAATGTATTTGTGGAGAGGAAGCATTCCATAGTTGTAGGACTAGGTATTTTAGTGAACCTGTGCTTCTGGATTGTGAACTTCACAAATGTTTCTGAGTTTTCTGTTTTTTCCCCTACTTGCTTAAGTCACACAGGATGGCTAAGGAGGGCTGGAGTGAGGTCACAGAGCAAACTGCTGCTTGTCACTCTACTCTACTTTTGGTGGCAGCTGTTTATCCTGTGACCTCACTTCTCTTATGGATCTAAGAAGAGTTAATTTTTTCGGTTTGTTCAGCTTTTTACTTGTTAGGACATAGTAGGGACTTTAAGCCCCTCACATGTAGAACAAGAAGCTGAAAGTCTTACCTTTGTTTTTTGAATGATATTTTAGCTGAGTATAGAATTCTAGGTTGATGGTTATTTTGAGTCCTTAAAGATGATGCTTCAATGTCTTCTGTCTTGCATTGTTTCTGAGAAGTACGCTGTCATTTTGTCTGTTTCTATGTATGTAACATTCCTTTGTTCTAGTTGCCTTTAAATTTTAAATCACTGGTTTCAAGCAATTTTATTATTGCATGTCTTGGCGTAATTTTTTTCGCGTGTCTTGTGCTTGGAGTTCACTGAGCCTCAGATTTGTGGGTTTACAGTTTTCAACAAATTTGGAAATTTCTCATTCCTTATTTCTTCAAATACTTTTTGTCTGTCCTCTCTCACCTCATTTGGGGACTCAAATTACAAGAACATTAGGCTACTTTAAGTTATACCAAAGCTCATTGACATCTTGTAATATTTTTTCAGCATCCTTCCCCAATTTCTGTGTCTCTAAATGTCCTTTCTTCTGCACTGAATCTGCTGTTAATGTCATTTAGTGTATTTTATTCCTGACATAGTATGTTTCATCTACAGAAGTCTGAGTTGAATTTAACATGCTCAGTCTTTGTCTACACTCTTAAATATATGGAATGTAATTATAATAACTTCATATGATTTACTTTGATGAAAACTAATAACTCTCTTAACTACTTTAATGTCTGTTTATATTAATTCTATTTTGTGTAATTTCTGGGCTGATATTACTGTTTCTTCAATTTTGAACTTTATTTTCCTGCTTCTATGTAGGTCTATTAATAGAGACCAGACAGTGTGAATTTTACCTTCTTACAGGTTGGATATTTTTGTATTCCTAAGACTCTTGAGCCTTCTTCTAGAACAAAGACATTTGGAAACGGTTTAATCCTCTTGAGCCTTGCTTCTCAACCTTGATAAGCCAGATCAAAGAACTCATTCTCTGTTTTTCCCACTACTAAGGCAATGCACTTCTTAGCACGCTAACCAAAGCCCTATATTTTTCATGGTTTTCCACTTTTTCTGGTGGGAACACGCCCAAGGATATTTTTATTCCTTTTGGGTGATTCTTTCTCCACCTCCACTCTCCACCCTCCACCTTTGGTGAGAACTTTCCTCACCAGATGCACTGCTGCACTAAGCTGAATACCCTGAGAAACGTTCTGTAGGTCTTTAGGGCAGCCCTGTCCTAATACTCTGCTCTTCAGTCTCATGCTATCTTGGCTTCCCAGGCTCCCAACTCCTTTTGAACTAAAGGAGGCCTTTCCTTGTGTTGTGGCCTGGAAAGTCTCACCAGGCAATTAAGGTAGGGGCAATATTGGGGCTTACCTTACCTGTTTCTCATCTCTTGGAGATCACTCTTGTCCTGTTTGACACCCAAATCAATGGAAACAACCGCTCCATACATTTTTGTGTGTTACTTTAAGTAGTTTCTGGTAAGAATTACTCCATATCGGCTGAGAGTAAAAGTCCCTCACCAGAAATAAATCTCCTGTTGTGATCATCTGTCAGGCTTCTGTGTCTTAATTGCAGAAGCAGCATTATTAACTCCATAAACCTCTCAAAAACAAAATTATTTTGTTTTTGTTTATTAAGAGAATGCTTCTCTAGGGCAGTGATTGGGACCTTCCTTTCCTCTACAGTATACTCAAGGGATGCAACTACATAGTATCATTAACAGCAGCTTTCAACTGCAATGATTCTTAAGGAAATGGGGCATTCATGTGTGGCCTGAAAATAGCCATTAATGCTTCTAATAAGCTGAAAATTTACATCTGTACAATTTCTCCTTTGTGTATAATATTGTATTGGCTGTCTGACTATACTTATTAAGTATAATAATATATTTATTAAGCTATACTTATTAAGAATATTTTATTCCTTTTATTAAGAATCTTTACAATCTTTTTTAAATTGGGAATAGGCTTTAAATATGATCAACTTTTTGGCATCTAATAATACCTGAGTTTCTACTGATGTAGCATTTCCTTATATTGAGCCTATATATAGCCCTAAAATAAAATGAGCTTGGGCATGAGATATTACTTTTATTTCTAAATGCCACATGCTAGTGTTTAAGATTTTTTTCTTTTTTTTTTTTCTGAGATGGAGTCTCACTCTGTCGCCCAGGCTGGAGTGCAGTGGCATGATCTCAGCTCACTGCAACCTCCTCCTCCCGGGTTCAAGCAATTCTTGTGCCTCAGCCTCCCTGAGTAGCTGGGATTACAGGCACCTACCACCACACTGGCTAATTTTTGTATTTTTAGTAGAGATGGGGTTTTGGCCTCTTGGCCAGGCTGGTTTTGAACTCCTGACCTCAGGTGATCCACCTGCCTTGGCCTCCCAAAGTGGTGGGATTACAGGCATGGGCCACTGTGCCCGGTTGTATTTAAGATTTTCAAATGCATGTGCACAGGTGAGAACAGTTAAGCTTTCCATTTTTAGTAATCTACTTCGCATTTTGTTAACCTTTGATCTCAACAACAGGAACTCATTCTTGTTAAGCCAAAGTATAATTTATTGGAAAGATACAGTTTACATAACAGCAAAGAAGGCTGATGAACCAGATTCATAAAGACACATGGAGCACTTTAGCTTCTCATCTTCAATGTGAATAAACTTCAATCATTTTATTTGCATTATTTCAAATAATTCATCTAATTAGCTTAGTTTGGGTCTCATCCTCATTAAAAAGTTAAGGAAAGTAGCTGACAATCTCACCAAAGCTCTATGCAATTGCAGATGAGTTAATTCTCTAAAAGTTAAGTGAGATGCTACCACTAGAAAAAAGGAAATGGAGGCAAGACAGATAAAATCAAGAGATGGTCATATTGATTAAACAGTATGTCTTAAATTTTCCTGTGCTCCAAAATAGGGAAATTAACAGCTACCTTAAATTGGAAATGACTAAGTGCACAGTTTCCTCACGTACATTTAGTAAGCATTTGTAGAGTCCTCAATGTCTTCCCAATTATTGTTCTATTCAAATTTCTCACCTCTAAAAAACTCAACTTTAAAGATAGCTATAATTGATGACATCCATATCAAATAAGCAATAATTACTTTGGTCCATGTCCCCTCACTCCCAGATTTTAACCTATATACCAGGTGCACCATGTGTCCCCTCATTGAGTTCAGGCTCATTGAATTTTAAAGACCACTTCAGACCTCAAATAGGCAGTAAGTTTATAAAAGCCACCCTTGTCTGCCTCAATATATAGAAATTTTTCTTTACTGTTGGTGACCTATCTGTTATTCAGACTCATTGCCAAGCGAACAGCATAGTGTTTGGGAGTGTGAAGTTTTAAGTCCAATCGATTTAGGTTTCTAGCCTTGCTCTGCTCTTTTTCTTAGCTGTGTAAACTTGGCCTGTTTACTTTTCCTCCTTCGTTCTCTCCTCTGTAAAATGTAGTTACCAAGGAAACATTATTAGAACCTGAAATTTCGCCATTACTTATTTTGAGAATTCTCTTTTTGAGAGTAATCTTAAAATGTTTTAGGGTCTTCAAAAAACTGTTTTGCCTGTGATCTCTGACTTCATCCTATTATAGGTCCATGAAGTAAGTATGAAGAGAAACCAGTACAGGCCAAGTGGACCGAGTACCAGCACACAGGTTCTGGTCCCAGCTCTATCATTACAGCTTTGTATCCTTGGGCAAACTAGTATCAATAAAAGATAGAGTCTTTAATACATTAACGGTTTTCAAAGCCTAATCATATAGAAAGACCTGTGTTATACCACCAATACAACTGAATAACGACCCTTTCCATCAATATCAGACAATAAGTTTTGGACAGAATATTTTCAACTTAAGTTTTTTTCTCCTGTACATTCTTCAAAGATTTGGTTTTAAAAACCCCAAACACGGCACTATTCTGCCTGGTTTATCAAAATTTTTTTAATACAGCATACACTCATTTTTCGCTGCCAAACTGCTTATAATGGCACTAAATACACTAACATACTGTGTTTTAGTACGAAGCAATAATTAATACTCAGAGTACTCTCAGGAAATCCGCAAGCTGAGTAAATCTGAAAAGAAGATCTTGTAACCACCCTTCCAATCGACTTAGTAGGGTTCTACGGCCCTAATTAAAAAGCGAGAAAACTTTAGCACTCAAGTCCAAAGGGGACTGCCCAACTCAGTCTCAGGCTTCAATTTTGCACCTGGGAAAAAAGAAACACAAAAGGGAAATGCTGCCTTCTTGGCTCTGGGGGTGGTGACGGGAGCGGGGCCCACTGAGGAGCGATTTCAATTAAAGGGTCGGACAAAGCCGTCTCGGGTCCCTAGCAGTCTCCGCACTCACTGCCTCCTTCTCGAACATGCTAGGCCTCCTCTCTTTCCTAGGCGTCACCGGCGCCTGCTGAGAGCTCTGGTTCGGGGTCTGGATGAGGCTCGACTTCACGCCTCGGCCTCGCTTCTCCATCTCGCTCTGCTCCCCAAGACTCCCACTGCCTCTCCTCCGCAGACCGTCAAACGCCTCAGCAGCTCCCGCGAGGGCGGAAGTCTCCCACCTGCGCCTGGTACGGTCGGAAGTGCCCGCTAGGGCTCCAAGGCGCCTGGAGGCGGGGCGCGCAGGTGCCTGCGTCATTCATGCGCGCCGCAGCGGGGCACCGGAAGTTATGGAGGTAGGGCGGATGCAGGGGCCGGTTCGATCCCGAGCTAGGCAGGGAGTCAGCGCCAGGCTGGGTGGTGTTGGGCTACGCGGAGTGGGTGGGCGAGCACGCGCCTGCGGTGGCCGGCAGTCCCGCGCTGGAGGGCGCTGGCGCCGTCGCGGCCCTGGCCTCTGTGGCGGTATCGGACGCTCGGCCTTGCAAGACGCCTGGCGGGCCCTGCCGGCGTCCCGGGGCCAGGCTCGGTTTCTCTGTCGCCTCTTGACCCTCATCTGGAACGCGGCGGACGGTCCGGGAGGGCTGTGCGCGGTGGCGCGGGGGCGGAAAGCCGCAGGTCGAACTCTCACCTGACCGTGGCCTCGTTCCTAGAAGCGCAGTTTCGTAGTCGTTGCCTGTAGGGTCCACACTCGGACAGTAGATTTGTTTTGATCGCTTTTAGACCGTTTGAGTCACTATGAAACTCATCACGACGGCCTCACTGACCTCGTGTCGGGAGATCTGGTTGCCTCGTAATAAACATTTATTTATTTTTCCTCCCTGAGGCAATTAAATATCAAACACCTATCATCAGCAGTAACGACAGCGGAGCCGGGCGTGGTGGCGCCTGTGGTCCCAGCTACTCCGTAGGCTGAGGTGGAAGGATCGCTTTAGCCGAGGAGGTGGAGGCTGCGGTGAGCCGATATCGCGCCACTGCACCCCTGTTTGGGCCACAGCGAGACCCCATTCCCAAAATAATGATAACGATAACTACCATTTTTGAGTACTATGTGCTAGATGCTTTTCATGTATAATCTGATGACTGCAGCCCTACAAGGTGCAGCCTGGCACCGTTTTATTTCACTTAGAACTGAGATTCGGATAAAGTAAGTTTTCCAAGGCAAGAGGTAGTCAGAGACTGAGGAATGATTCAAATTTAAGTCCAGCTCCAAAGCACCGGCCTAGTGTAGTCTGCAGAGTTCCAGCCCCATAGAGCCCAATGGAGGATGCGAGTGACAATCGCCATTCAAAAATAGTTCATGCCGATTTCTTTAGTGATGACTTAATTGTTAGCGCCTACTGGGATTGTTCAAAAAGTAGGGCTGAGAGTGGAAAGTGCAACTTCTGGGGACAGGAGGAGCAAACAGGGCAACTGATACTGAGCAGGACCAGGGAACTCAGACTGATCAGTTTCCACTTTACAAAGCTGCCCAGAGTTAATTGTGACTGTCACAACACAGCCACTCCTTAACTCGACACACCAAAATAAAGAGCCTCGGTTCAGCTTTGGATCCTGAATTTGACTTCTTTGCAGGATTATAGATGGTCTTAGTGTCATGTGGGATAGTCGTAAGGATTTTGATTTTATTTGATTCTCCATGGAAAACCAGTACGGTTTGCTACTTTTTACATGGCAGGGAAGGCTAAACTTTACCTCTGCTCATGTTAGTTCAGAGTGACCCCTTTAACAAATGAAAGGTTAATAAGAAAAAGGTTTATTAATGTACAGAGTACACATCACAAGGGATGAACCTCAATGAAAAGTAACTTGAAATGGTGGCTTAGAACTACATTTGTATACCATCTTCAACAAAGAACTATAGATTTGCAGAGAAATGACACAGGAGAGCAGTTTCAGGCTTCAAAGGGCAAGAAACTGGAAAAGTAGATACATATTTGAAAACTGATGGAGTAAAAATTGTTTGCACATTCCTCTGGTACCTTCTCTGGTCTGGTAAGAGTCTAAAGTTATCCCCAGTAAAGAATATATATGCTGTGTTTGGGTGGAAGAGGGGGAGGAGAGAGAGCTTTTCCTTCATTTGCTGCCTCTTGTCTTCAGCTCCAATTTGTTGTTGTTTTTATATCAAAGAGGCATGTTTTGGGATGACATTGTGGTTTTCTCCAACACCGTTTAGGGAGTCAGAGGTACGCGGGGTTCTTTTTCCTTCTTGTTCATTATACTTGGTTTCTGCTCTCCCATTCCCCATTTAAAAAAACTGCTTATTTTGATAACTCTAGGATAGTGAAGGAATGCTGAGAGGAATAATGCTCTGTTGGTAAAATACATTAAGCTTCCATGAACTCATATCTTTTTTCTTTTTTTTTTAGTGAAAGCAAGTTTATTAAGAAAGTAAAGGAGTAAAGAATGGCTACACCATAGGCAGAGCAGTTTGCAAATATTATGATTGATGATTTTAAGTCTTTAAACCTTTATCATATTTGAGAACATTTATGTAAATTTTATTTATTTATTTATTTATTTGAGACGGAGTCTGGCTCTGTCGCCCAGGCTGGAGTGCAGTGGCGCGATCTTGGCTCACTGCAAGCTCCGCCCCCCGGGTTCATGCCATTCTCCTGCGTCAACCTTCCAAGCAGCTGGGACTACAGGTGCTCGCCACCTCGCCTGGCTAATTTTTTTGTATTTTTAGTAGAGACACGGTTTCACGGTGTTAACCAGGAAGGTCTAGATCTCTTGACCTCGTGATCCACCCGCCTCGACCTTCCAAAGTGCTGGGATTACAGGCTTGAGCCACTGCGCCCGGCCAAATTATCTTTAATATTTAATCACAATGTTTTAATCATACAACTTTCATGATATCCAGAAAGCATGTTAACAGCAACTATACCTGAGTGCACTCAGTTCTTAGAGAATTTTCTTGTGACTTAAATATATAATACTCTGTTTTTCTTTCAGTTAAGCAGTGCCTTTTATTTTATTTTTTTTAGGTATTAATAGGGGACCCTATTACTACATGTCTTTCTCCCTCAGTGTATGATATAATTTGTAATCTTGGGTTTCAACTCAGAGAAAATTGTGATATCAATAGCGTGGTTACTCCGAATGGTGAAGTGTGCTGGAAAACAATCTCAGACTGTGTGAGCTACACAGAGACAGGTTTGTGCTGTCTTTGTACAAAAACTTTCATAACTGTTCCATTGAAAATGTCTTGACCTGTCAAATTCCCCTTTCTGACCACTGGTTCCTTTTGTTAGATAATGTTATAATACAGGCCTCACTCCAAAGGAGAACAGAAATTAATGTGAAAAGAGAAGGGATGAGTACAGAGAAGCATGGAGAAATTAATGGAAAGCTGGGCTAAGGAAACCTCCTCTACAGAGGAGGTGTCAGGAGGCAGAGAGGGGCTGGTGGACTGTTGATGATGTAGATCTCAGGGCCTTGAGATGATTCTCCATAGGAGTCATATAAATTAAGGGTAGAAAATGACCAGTAATAGATTATACAGTTATTTTAAATGTCTTCTAGGCATTCTTGCACACTTTGGAGCAGAGATATAGATGCGGAAATTTAATAATAGTTATAAAAATTACAAATGAACATACTCTGGCCTAGCAGTCCATTTTCAGGAATCTTTAAGACAGATACAGATATGAAAGTGTGATTGTGCAAGGTTATTCCTTGCAGCATTGTTTGTAACAGCTAAATAAATAAACAGCCAAACATCAAGCAGTAGGGGATTGGTTCAGTAAATTATGATAAATTTATATAATGGAATATTATGCAGTGGTACAAAAGAGTGAGGGGGCTCATCTGATACAAAAGTCTCTGAGCTAAGTTGGAAAAAAAAATAGGACGGGCTTGTATTTGTAATTACCCTTTGGTATTTATTGATGATGAACCAAGTGGATGATTAATGCCAAACTTATCAAAAAAAAAATTAAAACAAAAACTTCATATGATAAATACGTTTAAAACAATTCATTGCCATTAGAAATCTCAGTCTAATAACGTTAACTTAAAAAAATCAGGTTACAAAGTTGTGTATACAGTGTGAGCCTGGTTTAACTTAAAAAAAAACCAGGTTACAAAATTGTATATACAATGTGAGCCTGATTTTCTGTATTCTTATGTACAGGTAAAGACATTGACAAAAATAGTTTTGTTTGAAACTTTTTGTATTTTCCAAATCCTCTGCTGATAGTATAGTTTTCTTTCATAACCTGATAAGCATTATGTGATTTATTTCCAACAATGTAAAAGTATATCATATGTTCAATGATAAGCTAATTGTTGATTTTCTGGAAATTTTATAATTAAAGCATTTTTTCTTTGATGATATAGATATTTTATATCACATGATATGGAGCTATGGTGCTGAAATTTGTTTTCTTATCCTTTAAGATCAGGGTCTGGATTACTGGGGAAGCGTGAGGCTGCTTGGCCCTGTGTGTGAGGCTGTCCATTCACATTTCTTATCTTTGACCAAGGGGCAATTTGAAATTCGATATGCACCGTGGTTCCAGTGGACAAGTTTTCCAGAGGTTTGGCTTTTGAACAACCTTTAGAAATAAAAGACTGTGCAAATACTACTTAGAGGACTTATTATTTGCCAATTTTAAAGGGGCTTCCTTCATCTCCAGGCCCTCCAGCTGTGAAGAAGTGTCGAGGGTTGCAAGAAAACCCTGGGCTGTTATGCCAGATCTCCAAACCCTGAGCTGAGAAACATGCCCTTTGGAACACAGAAAGATTTTGAATTCATTATCACAGGATTAGGGGTTGGAGAGCTAACATTTGGCACATAGTGCTCGTCCAGGGATAGAAGAAAAATTGACCACTCCAGAATAAGAGGCCCAGTGGAGAGGTATTGAGGTGTTCTAAGACAGCCGGGCCTGGAGACCAGAGCTGGGATACTTGGTTTGTTAATGGGGAACTGAAGGGAATATGGGTAATTTGGGCCCCAACCCAAAATCTTGTTTTGGTTTGTTTTTTTGGTCAGTTTTTCTTCATTTTGTTTGGCACACTAAATGACCACAGTAAAGCAGTAACTGTAACAAGTCTAATTCTGCTTTGAATTTGGAGTGAAGGAATCATCATGTCCCCCTTGTACTAGCGCTTTTAAGTGGCAGGATGAGCTGCCTTGTGTGTATCTGTTTGAGGACTCAGCCAAATCAAAAGGAGAAACACGATGGAGGTCGAAAGGCTTGACATTTCCACTTAAATTATGCCAGATTTGTTGCTTTCAGTAAATGTTTAAATAAAGAACTTTCAAGGAATTCTTTAGCTATTAAAATATTTTTATTCATTCTTTAAGCAATATAATTATACAGAAAATGTTTACTTATTCGCTGAAAATAACAAAATATAGCAGTTGAAATCTCTCGAGGTTTGAATTTCAATAAATAATGTTACTTTGAGAAGTAGTTTTGGAGTGTACATCCTAATATATGTTTTATTCTAAATAGTTATTTCCTGAAATATTTGATGCCTTGGAAAGTCTACAATCTCCCGCTATTTCTCTTAGCTTAATGAAACTGACATCGTGTCTGGAACGAGCCTTGGGTGATGTAAGTGCGAGAACTCTTCCATTATTGGCCCATTAAATTGTCTGAATGAACATTAAGCTATTTTACAGTTGTCCTCAGATTTCTTATTTTCCTATAACATAAAATCATTTGGTATACATTTTTAATATTTCCCTTTTGAATGATTATGAAATCAAAGGATTGGTGTCTAAGTACTTTTCACCCTTCATTTGTACAAACAGTTGCTTCATGGATAATGTTTTTAATGTTTATTGACTCATAATGCAACTGTTACACAATTTTTGTTTGAATTTTAGGTATTTTTACTGATTGGGAAGGAATGCCCCTTTCTTTTAAGAGATCTGCTTGCATCTGAGGAACTTGCTCAAGTCTTCGGGCAGTCTGTGGTAAGCTTGTTCATCTAAACTCATGGAGTGTATTAGTCCGTTTTCATGCTGCTGATTAAGTTAACGTACCCGAGACTGGGAAGAGAAACAGGTTTAATTGGACTTACACGTTCACATGGCTGAGGAGGCCTCAGAATCATGGTAGGAAGATAAAGGCACTTCGTATATGGCAGCAGCAAGAGAAAAATGAGGAAGAAGCAAAAGTGGAAACCCCTGATAAACCCCATCAGATCTCATGAGACTTACTCACTATCACGAGAATAGCACAGGAAAGACTGGTCCCCATGACTCAGCTACCTCCGCCTGCGTCCCTCCCACAACTTGTATCTTCCAATTCTGGAAGATACAATTCAAGTTGATATTTGGGTGGGGACACAGCCAAACCATATCATGGAATAAGTGCAAAACAGCAATTCACATATGCTATGCTTTTGTTCTTCCCAAATTGATGATGCTTTAGGAAAAAATTGTATCAGTGATTCAAGCATATTCTTCCTTCCCACCTTCCCTTTCAAAATTGCCCCTCCTCCAGCTCGTAGAAAGCTTTCCTATCCCAAGTGTGAATAACTCTAGGGCACCACAGGGCCAGTGTGAAGCATGTTGCCTCGATCAATTACATGTTATTAACTATAATAATCCAGAATACAACTTTAACCCTTTAAATGAGTGATAATATGGTTTTATTTGAAAATTTTAACGTGAAATTATGCCTTTTGCAACCATTTAAACTTACAGTGGAAAAAAAATTCAGATGTTAATCATGCAGTTACATACTATATTAAAATCTCCTAAAGGGCACATGATCAAGAGACTTAAGACTAATGAATATCCTTGTGCAACTGAGTGAGGCAGGGTCAAGATGAAGAAACCCAGGAGAGCCTTATGTGGAAGCTGTGCTTGCCAAGCCAGGAAGCTGCCAGATGATTTTTGGAGTAAAGAAATCTGTCTTCAGTGGAGCTTTTCCATTCATTTCTGTGGGTCTTTACTGCTTGTCGGCTTAAAGATCATTTTCTTTTGTGGAGAGCTTGGAATGAAGATAAGAAGTGCAAACCTTTTGTTGTTACACTGAATTCTTTTTTTTTTTTCTTTTTCTTTTTTTTTTTTTTTTGAGACAGAGTCTCGCTCTGTCGCCCAGGCTGGAGTGCGGTGGCCTGATCTCCGCTCACTGCAGGCTCCGCCTCCCGGGTTTACGCCATTCTGCTGCCTCAGCCTCCCAAGTATCTGGGCCCGCCACCTCGCCCGGCTGGTTGTTTGTTTGTTTGTTTTTTGTATTTTTTGTGGAGATGGGGTTTCACCATGTTAGCCAGGATGGTCTCAATCTCCTGACCTCGTGATCCGCCCGCCTCGGCCTCCCAGAGTGCTGGGATTACAGGCTTGAGCCACTGCGCCCGGCTGTTACACTGAATTCTTAAATACATTTTGTTTCTTTGATCTGTTCTTTGGTACTTGCTTATATGTGATTGGCCTTCTGCCCACTTGTGGCCCCTTCAGCTGCCAGGTACTTTTACTTGGTCACTGCCATTTATACATCTGATTGACCAGATAGTGTGAACCATGAATATTTCATAAATTATTGGTAGAGCAAAAAGGTCTCCTGAAGCTGCATAGAAGAACTGCTTGTTAAACGTTCCTACATTCAGTAGAACTCTGCTCCTGATCATTTCCACCTCCTGGTTTTGGGTCTCCCCTCTGAGGGAAGTTCAGAATGCATCCACATTCCCTTCTCAGCAGCCATCTTTCACATGCATGAATACGGTGTTCACTTCCTTCTCAAGCCTTCTGGAGGCTCAACTATTATTCCTCCTATGACAGGGTTTTAAGTTCTTATAGTCTTTGAACATCTTCCGTTATTTTCTGAGTTTCTTCTAAGTATGTTGCCTCAAACCCAAAGCAGTTCTCTGGGCATGGCATGATTGTAGTCCATTAAGTAGGACCCCTGGTTGGGTGTTTTCTTCACTCTGTGAATAGATGGTGGGGTGGATCAGTGATGGGCTTCACGTCAGACAGCTAGGAAGTGGAGGCTCAAGCCTGGAGTCATGCTGCTCGGGCATCCCCTGCTGCCTCTGCTTAACCATACAATTGCATGCTGCTTAATACAGTGATATGTTTCTGCGTGTCATATCATTGTCTTTTTAAGTTTTATTTAGATGTTAGGCACATTTGAAGCACTTTATTAAAGCAGGATAACCTGGGTTGGATCTTATCCCCCATATTGATTTTGTAGCCTTTGAGACCTTGGTTTCACCTTTCCATGCTTGTATTTTTTTCACCTAGATGCTGGGGATAATAGTAGTACCTTCCTCGTAGGTTGTTCTTAGGATGAGTGAGTTGATGAATACATATAAAATGTGTCTAGCACATATTAAACACTCAATGTTGGTTTTATTATTATTACTGCTATATACTAGCCAAAACTGTTGGCTCTGTCAGTTAAAAAGAGCAGAAATATTATCTTCATATTATATTGGTTTATTCAGTAATTCAATAATAATTAACTATGTAATGATTTGCTGTCCTTAACCGGATTAGATGAATGTGCTAAAAGTCTTCGTTGGCTCTCCGTGTGGTCTCAACCTGCGTAACGTCTTATGGCATGGGTTTGCGTCCCCCGAAGAAGTTCCTCCAAAGTAAGTTTCAAGTGAAGGAATTTTCTTCCTTTTCTGGATCTACCAAAGAGGTTTTTAAATTCTGAATTTCATGAGAAAGAAATAGATTTTGTGAAACATGAGTGAGTTTTGAGATAGGATTTTGAAGATGAAATTGAGTATTACTAGTGTAGTCACCAGAGTGATGACCGGGTTATGGTTTCAGTGACTTACACCCCAAAGGCAGTTCAGGGGCGACACCAGAAGGATGTTATGCCATTCACGTCCTGGGTGGGTGGAAGACCCTGAGGTTTCATTAGGGTCTTCATCAGAGTTTCTGTGGTGTTATTGTGCCTCCCAACTCTTGCACAGCCTAATTCCTACATCTAGAGAATTTTGGGCAATTTTTTTTTTTTTTTGAGATAGAGTGTCACTCTGTCACCCAGACTGGAGTGCCATGGTGCATTCTCAGCTTACTGCAACCTCCTCTCCCAGGCTTAAGTGATCCCCCTGCCTCAGCCTCCTCAGTAGCTGGGACTATAGGCACACGCCACTATGCCCACATAACTTTTTTGTATGTTTTGTGGAGATAGGATTTCACCTTTTTGCCCAGACTGGTCTCAGACTCCTAAACTCAAGTGATCTGTCTGCCTCGGCTGTCCAAAGTACTGGGATTACAGGGATGAGCCACCGTGCTCAGCCAGTTTCATGCAATTTAATGGTGCTTTGCTTTCTTAATTTTAAATTTGTATTTTTCACAGTGAAGCTTTTTATAGGCATGATTGAGTACATTTTTGTAACAGATCTCTATGGTATTTCCCCTAGATACTGTTCAATGATGATGCTGTTGACAGCAGGATTGGGTCAGTTACTGAAGAGTTACCTTCAAAAAACTAAACTTACATTGGCACATCGCTCTTTCATAACTCCTACAAACCTTGAGGATTTGATTGTTTTTCCTGGTAAGTACTACGTTTCACATTTCTTCCTTAATGTAACTCTGCGTAGATATTTGCAAAGTCAGTAAACAGCATTAAGAGGTGCACTCTTGAGGTGGGGTGAAGTAGTTATTCTTCAGTAGTCGGATGGCTTTCAGAGTTGCTTGAAGAACCTCCAACATTTTGCCACCCAAAGCCCTGCCTCCTCCTACCATGCCCTGGGGTTGTTGTGGGGGTCACAGGAAGTGCAGCTGTGTGAGTCAAGCTCTTTCTTCCTCAGATGCACTATGCGCAGCAGTGGTCTCAGGCTGTTGGATGATGTACATTTTCTCCTCCTTTTATCTCTTGTATTTTTGTACTCATGATTGTTATACCAGAAATACTTATAGTAGTATCAAGGGTCTTTTACACCTTCTGAAAATGTATTTTACTTCTCTTGGTCATTGTGCTCAGTTGGTCCACCCTGAACTGTTGCCTAAATCACTGAAGAGCTGTCCATGCCCCACTTTCCAAGGGTCACCTGTACCTCAGGCCCTTGGTCAGGGCAATCCTACTCTCTAACAAGTCCCCTGCTGCAGGGGTCACGGTTCAGCCACCTAAAGCGGTTGGCTCATTGGCATCACTCCTCCAGCGTGTTTCTGTCTTTTTCCAGTTGATCATTATGATTGTGTTTAAAACTGTATGTTATTTTACAGATGTTACTTATGAGGTGCTCTCAGTATTAGAAGAAGCGATGACGAAATCTGCTTTTATATTAAAAATCATGTTACCATATTGGGAAGTTGCACTGGTCAAGTTCAAGTCACACAGGTAACTGAAGGGTGCATGGCAGAGTGGTTTGCAGTGGTTGGAGGCCAGTCTTTCTTGATGCCCTTCACTTTCGATGCTTTTTGCTGTTGGAGTAGGAGTGAAGAGAAGCTGGACTGACTTGAGCAGACCTGAAAATAAAACACCTTCATAGAGTTGCTTCAAGGACAGCCTGTGATTGTATCTTAAACATTTTGTGCTGGCCTTTTGGTGCAGTTGATAGAATTGTTTTTTAGGATCCACTTTTTAATATTTTCTGGAATTCTTAGAATGAGCAAAACATGTTCAGAACCATGAAACAGAGATAAGCCAGCTTTGTCCTTACATTCTGTTTCTGTTTCCTCAGGAGCAAACATGTGTATGGTCACCACCAGAAGGTCTGGTGAGCTGGTCTTTAGTTCCTTAAAGGATATTACCCTAGTTCATTCATTTTTATGCCTTGAGAACCCACTGAAATCCTGGTGTGTGCATTTTTGTTTTTTCTTTTTGAGACTGGGTCTCACCCTGTCACCCAGGCTGAAGTGCATTGGAACCATCTTGGATTACTGCAGCCTTGAACTCCTGGGCTCAAGCAGTCCTCCCACCTCAGCCTCCTGAGTAGCTAGGACTGTAAGTGTGTACTACCATGCCTGGCTAATTTTTGTACTTTCTCTAGAGGTGAGGTCTCAGTCCATTGCCCAGGCTGGTCTTGAACTCCTGGGCTCAGTGATCCTCCTGACTCAGCCTCCGAAAGTACTAGGATTACAGGAGTGAGCCACTGCGCCCAGCCTCAGTATTTTCTAGAAGCAATGAAATGAGTTAGACAGTTCTTTGATGACATGTTGTTCTATAGAACCTACGAAAAATGGTTCATCAAAAATTAAAACACTGGAAGGTTTTTTTAAAATTGCTACTTAATGAAACTTTGGTTCTATGTGTGTGTGGTTGTTTTTTTTTTTTTTTTTTTTTTGAAAGAAGAGTCTCACTGTGTCACCCAGGCTGGAGTGCAGTGGTGTAATCTCAGCTCACTGTATCCTCTGCCTCCTAGTTTCAAGCTGTTCTTGTGCCTCAGCCTCCCAAGTATGAGGGACTGCAGGCATGCATGCACCACGACACTGGGCTGATTTTTGTATTTTTAGTAGAGACTGGGTTTCGTCACGTTGGTCAGGTTGGTCTCAAAGTCTTAGCCTCACGTAATCCACCCACCTGAGCCTCCCAAAATGCTGGAATTGCAGGCTTGAGCCACTGCGCCCAGCTGGTTCTGTTTTGCTTCTCATATTATCAGGTATTATAATTTCTCTTTGCCTTTGATATGTAGACTGCAGCAGTTATTGTGATGTTGGTGTCAATATTATTTTTGTTTTTTGCTTGTTTGTTTTTTACTTAGAGACGGTCTTACTCTGTCACTCAAGCTAGAGTAGCACAATCATAGCTCATTGCAACCTTGAACTCGTGGGTTCAAGCAGTCCTCCCGCCTCAGCCTCCTGAGTAGCTAGGACTACAGACAGTGCCACTGCACTCTGCTAATTTCTAAATTTTTTGTAGAGATGGGGTTTCCCAAGCTGGTCTTGAACTCCTGGCCTCAAGCGATCCTCCCACCTTGGCTTCCCAAAATGCTGGGATTGCAGGCGTGAGCCACTGCACCTGGCCTAATACTTACTTTCAAAACATGGAATTTTACCTATTTTCCCTTCAATTTCATAGGTTTGCTGACTGTGCCATATTGTTGCTGACACAACTAGAAACTGGACTTAGGAATGTTTTTGCGACACTTAACAGGTGTCCACAAAGACTCCTGACTGCTGAGGTAAACTTGTTTTTATTACTGATTGTGATGACTGTTGCTGTATTAACAGTTTTCTGTTACCAATGAAAAGTTTTTAAAAATTTTATTCTGTTTAACATTAAAATGCATTTTTTAGCTAAGAACTGTGGAAGTCTTCACTGTCATTTTTTAGGACTTATATTTGTTGTTTATGATTGTTTTTGATATTTCTGAAATATTTCCAAACAGTCTTTTAAACTTAATGATGCCACGAACGTAGTAGGCACTGATTCTCTCTCTAGCCGTGTTGATGGTGTGTCACTGTAACCGCGTGAGATGGCTGGGGTCTAGCCAGGAGACTGAGGCGACCAGTGGTTGATCCTGACTTTGGGAAACTAATTGAAACCTGAGCTTGACTTTCTCCATCTTCCAAATGGAAGATGTGGGATTTGGAGGTGACTTGGTTAGTGCCAACCCTGTAGCAGATCGTGGAAGCCTTTGTCTCACAGTTTCTTGAGCCCCTCCAAGTGTGTACACACACATGCACACACGGTGGCCTCAGAGTTCCCACACTGACCCCCGGTTGCCCTGTCTGAGGCAAGCGTCTCTGAGTTTCCAGACTACCTCCTCTGGCTCCTAGAATTTCTCATTTCTGCTCCTTTTGGTAGTTATGATAAGATCCTGCTGCTTAGTGACAGAGATCTCGAAATAATATGGCTGCAGTGACTGAAATAGGCTAGAAGTGCATTTCTGCCTTTCCCAAATGTGAGTAGCTCCCGTGGAGATGGCAGCACCCCCATCATCACTCAGACCCTCTGTGTCGTCTTCCACTGATGAGGGTCAGGCCTTCCTCATGGAGACTACTTCTTCCTGGCTCCAGCCGGCTGTGTCAGCCATCACATCTGCTTTCCAGCCAGCAGGAAAAGCGAAGATTGGTGCACGCCCCTCTCTAAGGACGCTTCCTGGAGGTAGCACAGGCTGTGGGCCAGAGCTCAGTCGCACTTGCTACCAGGGAGGCATGGAAGCGTTCCTGGGTGGCCGAGTGCCCAGCTTCCCACGGGACGATCTGTTGTGGAGGGAGGGCAGGCACAGCCGCTCCACACCTCGGATTCTCATCTCCTTCTCTAGCTTGGCTTTTGCTTTTTGCCCCTCTTCGTAGGCATTCGTCAGTGCTCTGCTCTCAACCCTATCCTATGTTTCCTCTCCCTGGGACATCTTATGCAATTCTGTGCCTTACATTTTCATCTCTGGGGGAACAACAATTTGAAAATACTTTGAACTCAATGAAAACAAAACCCAACCTATGAGAAGTTTTGAACCCAGCGAAAGCAGTGCTGCGAGAGCTCACGGCCCAGGAGCCGGGCTCCCCAGTGTTGCTTCTCACTGACCCCCATCTGGTATCTGCAGTTAGATCTGCTCGTGTTCGCTGAATATCTTCATGTGAGTTTTCCTCAGCACCTCACGTTTATCTTATTTCAGAAAGGCATTGTTTCCCCCAGATTTGTCCTCTGACGCTCCCTCTGTCACCTCAGCCTCACCAACTGCAGACTCCAACAGCATCTCATGTTTCCCCCACACCTCCCATGTCCACTCAGTGGCCAGCATGGCTGGTGGTTTCCAGCCAGCTGACCTCATGCTCTTCCTGTCCAAACTGAGAAGCCCCGACTGGCTCCTCGGCCCACCCGAGCTCATCTCACGATTCTTCCTCCTTCTCAAATTTCACTCTCACAGTCCTGCAGATTCTTTTTTTTAGTTTTTTTTTTTTTTTTTTTTTTTGAGACAGGGTCTCTCTCTGTTGCCCAGGCTGGAGTGCAGTGATGCGATCATAGCTCACTGCAGCCTCAATCCCCAGGCTCAAGCGATTCTCCCACCTCAGCCCCCCTGAGTAGCTGGGACCACAGGTGTGTGCTACTACACCTGGCTCCTTTTTACTTTTTTTTTTTTTTCTTGTAGAGACAGAGTCTTGCCATGTTGACCGGGCTGATCTAGAACTCCTGGGCATAAGTCATCCTTCTGCCTCGGCCCTCCAAAGTTTTGGGATTACAGGTGTGAGCCACCATACCTGACCCCACTGATTATTTTCTAAACTGATATTGTTAAGTTATTTATGGTTTTCTTCATTCGTTTAACCTCCTTGATGATGTCCTGCTGCCTGCCAGATAGAGTTCATCTTCTTCACGTGGCAGCAAGGCCTCGGGTGCTAACCCTGCGCTCCTCTTTGGTGTGTTCCCTGTTTGGGTCCCTCAGTGAAATTTAGGCTTCTTGTCAGCTCCAGAACTTGCTTGTCTTTCTTCTTACTTTGTTCCTCACCCCCAGACTTACCACTCTAGATCAGGGGCTCTGACCACAAGAGCGACCTCGCGGAGGCTCATCTACTCAAAGGTTGAGGCTGCTTTTTTCTCTGTTCTGTTTCTGTCTCATCTTGGAGGCAGTCCTGCTTTGCCCTACTCATGTGCGTTTCTGCAGAGGTCTCTGCAGGTTCTCTGAGGCAGGCCTTCACGTTGCCGTCGCCTGGTGCCCACGCCCAGTGCCTTCCATGTAGGCCACTCAGCGCTATGTGGAGCGAAGCTTCAGGAAAGAGATGGTCCCCACCCATTAGAGCCCTTGCTTCATAATACCTGCATGGGGACTGGCTGCATGGTGGCACGCTCCATCACTCTAGGGCCATGTAGTGCAAATAAATTTGGATATTTGGATATTTACTTGTCATTTGACTTCATAAATAAATAACATGACTGTTTCCACAGAGGATATAATCTATCAAAGACTATATTAAGTTTTAGCCCAGGCTTTTATCCAGAATAAACAGGATCAGTTTTTAAGGCAATATATATATATGAAGATATTTTATAAAACTTTTAAGACTCTGCAGATACTGTTATTATTTACTGATTACTTTTGTGTCATGAGGTCTCTTCAGGGCCAGTGGAAGATATGAATATGAGTGAGATTTTCTGACTTCAGAAGCTTATTTATCACGGGAGAGTGAGAAGGCATTTATACTAACTCTGTAAAACAAAGTAGAAGCTAATGCATGTAGTTGATGGAAGTAAATGAAAAATTCCGCTTTTTGGAGAAAGTGGGAATGTGTGGTAGACAATTGGATATTTAGAACTCAGAGGGAATTTCAGGGCTAGCAATACAGATTTGAGAGCTAAAGATACAGATTTTAGAGTCATCTGTGTAGTAATGTTGAAGAATATTGGCAATATGAAATTTAAAATAGGTTATAAAACATTAATAAATCAAAAAACATTTCTTGAGAGCTAGCTTACACAAAATCCTGATTTCATCATACTGTCTGTCAAATCTCACTGAAGTGATTTCGTCACACTGCGTGTCAGATCTCACTGAAGTGATTTCGTCACACTGCATGTCAGATCTCACTGAAGTGATTTCGTCACGCTGTCTGTCAAATCTCACTGAAGTGATTTCGTCACACTGTCTGTCAGATCTCACTGAAGTGATTTCGTCACACTGCGTGTCAGATCTCACTGAAGTGATTTCGTCACGCTGTCTGTCAAATCTCACTGAAGTGATTTCATCACGCTGTCTGTCAGATCTCACTGAAGTGATTTCGTCACACTGCGTGTCAAATCTCACTGAAGTGATTTCGTCACGCTGTCTGTCAAATCTCATTGAAGTGATTTCGTCACGCTGTCTGTCAGATCTCACTGAAGTCCCCCAGAAGCCTTTTGAGATAGGCATTCTTCACTTCTTCTTTTGCCGAGAAAACCTGCATCTGTGGCGTTCAATCAGTTGCCTGTAGGTTTCATGTCTAGAAAATGTTGAATTTGGGATCAGAACTCAGGACAGCCCATGTCTGTAGGCCATGCTGATGATGCTGAGAAGCAGCGTGCATGAAATAAAATAAAAACAGACAAGGCTGTTCACTGGAGAAAATAGGAAGCTGTGCTCACTTGTGCATGAATACCAATTGTCAGGAGAAGTATTCTGTTGTATGAGCAGCGATTTGTGAGGACCTGGGATCGTACATTTTAGAGATGACTGGGCTAAAGCTCTGTTGAGGGCAGTGTCCTAATGCGGCTTCGTGGCCAGCTGTGCTGTGTTTTTGCATATTTGTAATGTGTTCATTTGGTCAGTGACATTTCTCTCATAGTGTTTCTAGATGAATGTTTGTTTTAACAAAAAACTGGGATGTGTGGCCATGTACCAGAATTTTTTCTTATTTTGTATAGTGTTACTGTATTTGTATTTTGCTTTAATTGTTTATTTTCATTTCTTTCCTTTTCTGAAGTCAACAGCTCTTTATACCACCTTTGATGAAGTAAGTACACTTGTAAGGTAATTTGAAACAAACAGAACACTGTCCTCTTTTAAAATACAAATTAAAACGCAAAATTAAAGATCAGCCATAAATCATATGCTTACAGGAAAATGTCCATAGTAATATAAACCAAAAAAAGCTGATAATTGATATTTCTGGTTAATTTTGAGGCCCAATATTACCAATCTAGCTCCCAAAGCTATACAAAGCTCAAAGTTGGAAAATATCAAGGGATCTAACATGATTAGCTATAATTATTTAGAGGCTTGCATTTTAGATTTAGGGGTAACATCTTTTTTGTACAAGAAATATTCCCCAACTCCTGTTATGAGTGTGTAGTATATATTGATTCATTTAATCTGCATATTGGGGGTGTGAATAGTGAAAAAACCGCAGTTGAAAATGCCTTTTATTATCCACAGAGCGTAGGCACTTGTATGTGTAATCGCAGATAGCATTCGTGTGCACCTGAAGTGTGACAGTCTATAGGAAACCAAGGGAAGGGCCACCTGTAGAGGTCTGGACATTTGGTTTTGCCTTTAAGACAACTGTTAGATTCGTAAGTGAGTGTGTGGTGGGTGAGTTAAAAATGTGCCTGCTTACTTGCAGAGCTTCTTCCATTAGGTGAATAATCTGCTATTATTTTAATGTAGAAGACCTTTGGTAATGTGAGGAATCGATTAGATAGTGCATTCCAGTCTCTAGAGGATCAGGTCTGTGGGATTGGTTGGGGTGGTTGGGCAAAGTCCATGGTAAGTTAAGAAGTGACTTTGGAAGTGACTCTAATGTGTACACAAACAACACACATGCACACACCACACATACATGCACACACACATGAACACATACATCCATGCTGCATATACACACACAGGCCTATACACACTGTAATAGGTACACAGCACACATGCACACACCACACATACATACACACATGAGCACATACCTCCACGCCACATACACACACACAGGCACACACACCCCCACACCACATATGCAGGCACATATACTACACACACACACACACACACACACAGGCACAGTTGCATATAAACACACAAATGTACACACCCTCACACCACATATGTACATGCACATATATACACCACATATATTCACAGTCACATACACAAACACACGTGTATACAATTAATAGTATATTCTTAAAGTCATTATGTTGGTTAAGAAAATATTTCCTGAACACCTGTTTGCTGATTTGATTTTGCTTAGACCTTAGATAACAAGTTACACTAAAAGTACTATATCCATCAACTCTGAAAGTGCTGTATGTTTTTGTATGGAGACCAGTTAATCAATGTAGTTATTTTTGATGTTTTAGATATTGGCAAAACACTTGAATGATGGTAAAATCAATCAGCTTCCTCTTTTCCTTGGAGAGCCTGCTATGGTAAGTATTAGGTATTTTCCAGGCCAATATTTTTGTATTTATGGATGTCATCAGCACTTCTCTAAAATGAAATTAATTTTAGCTTGTGGTTTGCTCAAGAAAAACACTTCTGAACCATTCCCGTGCCGTCTCAGCTTCAGCCACCAATCAGCTGATGTTTGCCAAGCTGTCAGTCCTTAAATGTCTTTTTTAAAGGCCTGATAATTTAGGGGCCCTGTCCCTAAGCAAAAGTTGAATTTGTTTTTTACATGTATTTGTGCTGTAGAACGGACATGTATTTGTGCCTTGTTAAATGCAACAGTTAGGCTGGGATTACAGGCTCACGCCTGTAATCCCAGCACTTTTGGAGGCCAAGGCGGGCAGATCACAAGATCAGGAGTTCGAGACCAGTCTGGCCAATATGTTGAAACCCTATCTCTACTAAAAATACAAAAATTAGCTGGGTGCGGTGGCGGGCACCTATAGTCCCAGCTACTCAGAAGACTGAGGCAAGGAGAATGGCTTGAACCCAGGAGGCGGAGGTTGCAGTGAGCTGAGATTGCGCCACTGCACTCTAGCCTGGGTAACAGAGCAAGACTCCATATCAAAAAAAAGCAACAGTCAAATGTGAGTAATAAGATTGAGTATTGGATGAAAAGAGAATGATTAATTGTTTAAGGCCATCTATCCTTTTTTTTTTATATTTTATGAAGATATTTCAGTGACTAATTTGGATTACAATAGGTGTTTGACATCCATTCCTTCTAACAGTCAGGCCACCTAGGATCATGCTCGTGGTCTGTGACTTTAGACTCTGTGCTCTGTGGACGTCCATTTCTGCCATCAAAAAGTGAGACGATTGAACTAGTTTAATGTTCTTTCCACCTTGAGTCTCTGTGACTCTTCTGACCAGTGGCAGTTTGCCAAGGGCAGCAGTTTTCTGACCTCTTTTCCCTATAACCTGTGGGAGAGGCCCTGGATTTGTGTCGTAAGAAGCAATAGGCTTTCGAAGGTGAAAGAGCAGATGAGAAAGTGCGGGGGCTGTACTCACACAAGCAAGAGCCATGATTTCTTTTATTGCCTTGGAAAAGCTCATTTGCAGATGTTCACACTCAGTTCCCTTCCTTGGAGGAAGGTGAAAACAAGAAAGACTGGAATTTGATGAGACTCCAGTACCACCTGGGCAGCTCTGCCTTTCCCCACAGCCTCTCCAGCTCCCTGCTCTGTCCTGTGGGTGCAGGAGAACAGCTCTCCCCAGCAGGGTCCCACCCAGGGCTTCAGAGGACTTGATGGATGCACTCTTTCCTTCTGTTAGCAACACCAAGCATAGCTCTCTGCTGCGGATACTAACAAAACATTTTCTCTGTTTAATTTCTGAAAGGAATTTCTCTGGGATTTCCTGAACCATCAGGAGGGTCCCCGCATAAGAGATCATTTAAGCCATGGGGAGATCAACTTACATGAATTTTCAAAAGAAACAACTAATCAGTTGCTTGCGTTTTCTGTTGTGCTGTTACTCAGATTCGTTGATGAAGGTCTGCTATCAGTTTTTAAGGTAATTTATAGGGAAGAAAATCATTAATTAGATTAACTCATTCAGCTATGAAAGAATATAGTTTATTTTTCAAATGTAATTAACTATTAATCATCTTTTAATATATCTGAGTTACCGTATCCTCCATCAGAGAAAAAAGTGATTGGATTACATGTATGTTTATATTCTGTATCACAGATCAATCAATATTAATCTCAGCTAAAATAATTTAACTTGTTTCTTAAAAACACATTTGCTTTTGTATGTAACAGTAGCTAAGTATTGAAAATGAAAGAACAAATTATAAAACAGGATTAACCAAATATATATTAGGAAATTTTTACAGATGTTTGCTAAATCGATGGGGTAGGATATTTGCATCAATAAACTAATTCTTTTATTATTTCAAAGTAATTTAGGTTAGAACATTTGTTATTGATATTTTAATCTTTTTTTCAGATTATACATGTGACAGTTATTTTAAAAATTTTTTAAATGTTCGAAAAATTACTGGAAATAGAAAAATTAATGTGAAAAGTAACAGCCCTCAGGAATTCCATCTCCCAGAAATAACTACTGTTAATAATTAGGTAGTGTTGCTACCACATTTTTGCTATGACTGTACCAAAGTGAGTTCGTAGGAAGGTACATTATGTTTTATAGCTGGCATTTTTCCTTAACAGTGTGTTTTTGGCATCTTTGTTCTGCCTTATTCTTTTTGTCAGCTGTTTGATATTCCATTTTATCAATATGTTATTATTTACCTAAGCAGTCCTTCATTGATGGATGAGTTGTAATATTCCCTGATGTAGAAAATTCCTAATTATTATGCTGAAATGAACATCTTTGTTCATTTGGGCACTTATGTAAATACTCTTAGAAAGTAAAGTTCTAAGACAAAAGATACCAGTAAGGATTTTTTTTTAAAATTATTTTATTTTATTTATTTATTTATTTTTTATGAGACAGGGTCTCGCTCTGTCGCCCAGGCTGGAGTGGCAGTGGTGCAATCATGACTCATGGCCCATGGCAGTCTCGACCTCCTGGGCTCAAGCCATCCTCTTACCTCAGCCTCCTGAGTAGCTGGGACCACAGGCGCAAGCCATCATATCCAGCCAAGATTATGTTTTTATTTTCATTTCTTTTTTTGTGTTTACTGGATGTTTATAATTCTCTCATTAATTGCTTATTAATGTATTTTCTCCATTTATTTCAGTTTTATTTTTCCCATTGGTCCATTAGCCTTCTTTGTGTACATATGGCTTTGTTATTTGTTCATAGGTTTTGATTTTTTTTTCTCTTTGGCTTCACATTTGGAGTCATTCTGAAAAGAATCTTTGCTTTTCAAAATTAAAAATATATGTATACATTTTCTCTGGTACTTCTATTTTTTCTTTTCTCTTTTCTTTCTTTTTTTTTCGAGACGAAGTCTTGCTCTGTCACCCAGGCTGGAGTGCAGTAGCGCGATCTCAGCTCACTGTAACCTCTGCCTCCCGGGTTCAAGCAGTTCTCTGCCTCAGCCTCCCGAGTAGCTGGGATGACAGGTGCCCACCACCACTCCCAGCTAAATTTTTTGTATTTTTATTAGAGGTGGGATTTCATCATGTTGGCCAGACTAGTCTTGAACTCCTGACCTTGTGATCCACCTGCCTCGTCCTCCCAAAGTGCTGGGATTACAGGCATGAGCCACCGCGCCCTACCTATTTTTTCTTTATTTTCCATTTACATCCTTTGATCCAACTGGAATTTATTTCATCTTGAGAGTAAGGTACAGAGTCTAGTTTTACTTTAAAAAGAATTAATAGTTATTATTCTGTGTAAACTTGGACAAACGTAAAACCCCAAAAACAAATAAGAATGAACACCTCATGGATTGAGTTAGGGATAATTGACATTTTTCACAATATTGAAGCTTATTCAGGGACACAGTGTCTCCCCATCTTCATTCCTCAAGTCCTCCCACCTACGCGGCACCTCCAGCCTCCCAGGTGGCTGCCCAGGCTGGAAGCCTCAGATTCCTCTCCTCTCTTCATACTCAGTCCTTGGAACAGGTCTTACAAATATGTTCCACAGTCTGGGTGCAGTGGCTTACGCCTGTAATCCCAGCACTTTGGGAGGCTGAGACGGGCAGATCACCTGAGATCAGAAGTTCGAGACCAGCCTGGCCAACATGGTGAAACCCTGTCTATACTAAAAATTCAAAAATTAGCTGGACGTGGTGGCAGGCGCCTGTAGTCCTGAGAATAGCTTGAACATGGAAAGTAGATGTTGTAGTGAGCCGAGATTGTGCCACTGCACTCCAGCCTGAATGACATAGCAAGACTCTGTCTCAGAAAAATAAAAAAAGAGAAAAAACAAAAAAGAAATATGTTCCACATCTGCTACTCCCTGTCCCTCTTGTGCCACCTCCTGGCCACACCACCTTGGCCCCTCCCTGGAATGTCGCTGGCACTGACTGGTCTGCCCACCGACTTCTGCGAACCCTTCACTTTGTCATAACACAGCAGCCAGACTGATCCTTTCCCAACATGTCATCCTCTCCTCAGAAGCCCTCGGGTGGGTTCACATTTTGGAACAGAAGCCAGGTGCTCTGCAGTGGCACAGATACACCGCTCTACAGTGGCACATATACACCGCTCTGCAGTGGGATACATACGCTGCTCTGCAGTGGCACACATATGCTGCGTGTGTGTCTGCCCTGTGGGGACGTCACCTGTGCAGGCACATGTGTGTGCCTCCCGTGTTCCGCCCAGCACACTCCCTGGTGCACTCCAGGCTCTCACACATCTGAGTGAAGGGAAGGCCAGCACATTTCTTCCGTAGTTAACATCTAGCTACTTGAGTTGCTTGTTTTGTGCTTTTAAGAATTGTAGGTAGTGGGCCGGGTGCAGTGGCTCACAGCTGTAATCCCAGCACTTTGGGAGGCCAAGGCAGGTGGGTTACCTGAGGTCTGGAGTTTGAGACCAGCGTGGCCAAATATGATTAAACCCTGTCTCTAATAAAAATACAAAAAAATTAGCCGGACGTGGTGGTGGGTGCCTGTAATCCCAGCTACTCAGGAGGCTGAGGCTGGAGAATCGCTTGAACCTGGGAGGCAGAGGGTGCAGTGAGCCGAGATCACACCAGTGCACTCCAACCTGGGTAAAAAGAGTAAGACTCTGTATCAAAAAAAAAAAAAAAAAAAAAAAAGGAAAAAAGAATTGTAGGTAGTTACAGATTTTTTAATTTGTCAACTGTCAATTCACTGACTTTCTTTCTCGTAGGTTTTAGTTGACTGACTTGGATTTTTAAGTTATGTGGTTATATCAGCTTCAAATAATGTAATTTTTATGCTTTTAGAAATATGTGTATGCTTAGCAATTAAATGATTATGTGATCTTTTTATAGCTATATTGATTTTTAGTGTTTAAGTAACTATTTCTTAGTTAAATTTCCAATTGTTTGGAATCTTTTTTTCTTATTCATCTCCAGTTTTGCGCACAGAGGGTGGGTGTGGCCTTTGTGATCTGTTATTGTTAATGGCCTCCATTTAAAATCATTTTATTGGTTGTGATTTGCCTGCCATGTCAATCCTATTTTAATGAAGCCTTTGCTTTTCAAGCTGCATGGAATTATTTGAAGAAAGACAATGAGAAATGGGGACTCTAAGTGGCCTACAGTTCAATAGAAGAAAGCTAAGAGCCTACCCAAATACAATTGTAACCACTATTTTCTCTAAACTAGGAAAAAGCATCAGTAGAATTGTTGATTAGTCTTGCAGAAGGCTATAGTTCTCGCTGCCATCCAGTTTTTCAGCTTAAGAAACAGGTATGCCGAATGCAGGGTGCTGGGAGGGGTGTGTACGTCTCTGAAACCACCTGTCTTTTGCAGAGATGCTGGAAGGGTGCAGTTTGTCTGCTAAGTCAGAATTTGAGTTGGGCAGATCCAGCTTTCTATCCGGCGTGGTGCTTGCTGTGGCCCTGGCCTGGTTGCTCAGTCTTCTGAGCCTCAAGTTCCGTGTCTAGCAGTTGAAAGTAATGCAGTGCTGCTGATGGCACTGAGGTTTTTAGTGTTAAATGGATGAGCACTGGGAAGTGTTTTTGCTGAATCCCCTGGCAGGCTTTTATTGCTGTAGGCAGTAACGCAGAGCTGGGAGCAGTTTTTATTTGTCAGTGGTGAGTAATGTCAGTTTTTCTTCTCCTACACGGACTAGCTTTTGTTAACTTACTGAAACAAACAATTTTTTAAGCATTTCTGCCAGGAAGTTCCAATTTGGCAATCAGCGAAGGGTGCTTTATTCTACATACGGGAGGATACAAGGGTAGTGCAAGGGGATGAAAGAGACAGTCCCCAAGAATATAAGCATCGTGACAGCTGTGCAGGTGAAAATTCATAAATGAGACTACCTCTAAAAGGAAGCTGTAAAATCAACACACAGCGGGTCAGGAGAGATTTGCAAAGGCGCTTTAAAGAAATGGTGCCTTGAGAAGTCGGAGGCCTCCTTAAGGAAAATACTGTCAGAAGGGGGTTGTCAGCAGTGAAGTTGGGAAAACAGCCTCCTGGAGGTGTGGCTTGGAGGCAGAGCATCGGGCTGCACTGGTCGGATGCCATTCCCCGTTGGCGCTGCAGACCAGCTTTACCAGTGGGGATTGCCGTGCTTTCCAAGCGCAAGCCCTTAGGAAGTAGAGGTGGGCAGGTAGGGAGGAGGGAAGATTTAGGAAGGAAGAGGAGCTTCAAGAAGGCAGCCTTTGTCTTCCAACCAGAGCTGCTGAGGCTCCAGACCATCCTCTCCCGTGCCCCACGGTGGCTATTTTGGGTCCTTACCACGTCCTGTCCCCCTCCTGGCATCTCACAGGTATTCAGGCAGCTTTGCATCCTTGGCTTCGGTTATTCCTGCTGTTGAGACCACTCACGCTCTGTGGTGTCAGCAGCCACCGTTTGACTTGCTCATATGCTAGTGGGTGAGAAATGGGGAGCATCTGCCGAGGGATTTGTCCTGTGGCCTGGCCTCAGTGTGGACGGTGGTGGTGCCCCAGGGCTTCGTGGGTGTCGCATCTGAGAAGACTGGAAGTTGGCCAGAGGCCTCATGGGGGTCCTGCAGGGACAGTCCCAAGGTGACAGCGGCTGCACCCCGAGTGCAGCCTGAACCGAAGAGGCACCTGTGCCTCTGACATGGCTTTGCATAACGTGCAGCATCTTCACACCTGCTGTGTTCTGTTGGTTCCAGGCCAGTCACCAGAGTTCATGCAGATTTGGTGGGGTCCTCCCTCTCAATGGCAGATGTCGAAAGAACCTCTGGACATGGTCATAGCCATCCCAGACGTTTCACTTCCTACCAATCCCCTGGTAGTTTCCCCAGCCTTCCCCCCATCTGATGTACTGAAGAACTGACACCCGCCCTCTGGTTTTAAAATGTTTAGAATTTGTAATAATTTATATAGTACATATTTTCTAGAGAGTGATGTAACATCCATAACAATCTAAAAACAGATTTTCTAGGAAGTTACCGTGAAATCTACAAAGTCAATAAAACATTTCATCGCAGGTGCTGAGCTTGAGGAGAGTATCAGGGTTTGGTTGCTCTGCTGCCTTTCCCCGAAAGAACTCACTTGGGAAGCAGTCAGGTACGTGGCATCCTGGGCGCTGGCTGACCTCAAGCTTGTCTGGTACTGTTAGTTTCAGCAGCATTTCTTCTTTAGCGAGGCTGTTGGAAGATAAAAGGGGAAGGAGGAATTTCTGGGCCTTGGTGGCTGTGAGGAGCTGCAAGTGATGCTGAATCGATCTTCCAGCTGGCCTGGGGCTCTGGTGGAGACTGAACATGGAACGAGAGGCAGGTTTTGTAGGTAGACAATGGCGTCCATGAGAACTACTGAGTAGGCAGAAAGAAAGATGGGTCTGAAGCTCAGGAGAGAAGTGTGGGATGTAGGCATGCATTCTGGAATCGTAGACAACAGCAGACATACTTGTTCAGCAGGAGGAATACGCAGGTGGTTCATCGTCTCGTCATCAGTCATCATTGGACTTTGCTTTTGGCATAGGGCATCGTTTCTTTCTCCACTGTCCCGTGATGGTGGCTTTTTACATTTTATATTTGGGGAAACTAAGATTCACAGTCAGTTTGCTGCTCAGTGAACCATTAAACATTATTGTGCATGGACACTAATGTGGGCATTTTAATTGTCATGTATCTTTAAATATTTTCTATTTTTCAGATTAGAAGATAATTCTGAAACAAATGCCTGCCACTCTTTAATTACAAAAATGACGGATGAGCTGTATCACCATATGCCTGAGGATCATTGTGTTTTAAAGGACTTGAATCATCTTCCTACTGAGACGTAAGTTCCAGGACATCCTGACAACTGTTGAAACATTGATTCTGCAGATTAGCATAGCAAACTTCGACATTTTCTACGTTTTAGATTTTATAAAGTAGTCTTAGAATCCCACTGTAACTGCTCCAAGAGGAATTATGAGATCAGTTTTGACAATCTCTGTGCAAGCGTGGCACATCTGATGAGGCTGTGAATGTCACATTCTGTTTACCACAATTCAGTGTATCTAGTTAACACTTGCCGCATGTCACGGTTGTCCCTGCAGACCCACCAGTGATACGCAGCTAGCCCTGGCTCCCAGAAAGCCGCAGCCTTGCAGGTACAGAAGGAGAGTGAGGTACAGGTGAGGATCACAATGCCTGCTCCAAGTCTGGCTCTATTTGCAGGTGGCCCCAGCTGCTCCGTGAGCTCTGCAGCACACCCGTTCGTACCCTGTTCTGCCCCAGGATTGTGCTGGAAGTGCTGGTTGTGCTCCGAAGCATCAGCAAGCAGTGCCACCGGGTGTCTGGCCAGGTCACCATTGCCTCGGAGCTGAGACACAGGCAGTGGGTGGAGAGGACGCTGCGGTCTCGCCAGCGGCAGAACTACCTGCGTATGTGGAGTAGGTGCGCGCTCACTTTCCTGTTTTGGAGGGGCACTGTGGGGCAGGAAGTTGTCACAGATGCAGTTCTAGTCCCTACTGAAGACACAGTAGGCCCCTCACTGAACCCCATCGACAGGTGTTGGTATACTTCTAGTTCACAATTGATAGTGTGAACCCAACATATCTGAGACAGGTCTCAATCCTTTTAGAAAGTTTACTTTCCCACGGTTAAGGACGTGCTGTGACAGCCTCAGGAGATCCTGACAGCATGTGCCCCAGGTACTTGGGACGCAGCTTGCTTTTATACATTTTTATACATTTTAATTAGACATAAGACGTCAGTCAGTAGGTGTGAGATGTACCTACTGAGGTGTTCCATCTGGAAAGGCAGGTGGGGGCCTTCCAGGTTATAGGTGGACAAGAGACAAAGGATTGCATTGTTTTGAGTCTTTGATGAGCCTTTTGGTGAATACACAATTGACTCGTGAGTGGGGGTAGAGGAATAGTGACTTACACCTTAGTGTGGCTCAGTGAAGCTGCATTTTACACAGGGCAGAGGAAGCAATCA